AGTGGTAGTAGTAGTAGTCGTAGTAGTAGTCGTAGTAGTAGTAGTAGTAGTAGCAGTAGTAGTAGTAGTAGTAGTAGTAGTAGTAGTGGTAGTAGTAGTAATAGTAAGTAGTAGAAGAAGTAGTAGTAGTAGTAGTAGTAGTTGTAGTAGCAGCAGTAGTAGTAGGAGTAGTAGTAGTAGTAGTAGTAGTAGCAATAGTAGTCGTAGTAGTCGTAGTCGTAGTAGTCGCAGTCGTAGTCGTAGTCGTCGTAGGAGTAGTAGTAGTAGTAGTAGTAGTAGTAGTAGTAGTAGTAGTAGTAGTAGTAGTAGTAGTAGTAGTAGTAGTAGTAGTAGTTGTAGTAGTAGTAGTAGTAGTAGTAGTCGCCCTGAGTCGCCGAAAGATCGTTCCAAGACGCCCAAGATGGCCTCCAGACGGCCGTAGCGCCAAGAAGCCGCGGGGAGCCTCAGGAGGCCCTCCAAGAGCCTGAACGAGCAAAACCCTCCCAGGCATTCGTCACCCCAGGGCCTCCTGGAACGCCCCGGCGCCCAATGAATTGGCGAGCTAGCAACGTGCGCCGAGCCAAAGCGGGAGCGCAACTTTGATACAATTTCGCTCGGCGCCCAAGCGGGAAGGTCATTTCATTCACTTCGAGCGGGGGGGGAGGGGGGTGTGCCGCGCCCAACTCTTGCCATGCACTTTTGCGGGGTGGACGACAACAACAGCTATGTGGGCAGGGAAAATCAGCATGGCATTGCTTCTGACAAGTAAGGTGGCCTCTCCCGCCTTGGGATTGCCCCAGACAATCCGCGCGCGATGCGCGCCGTGCCCCATTCCTGCCACGCATTTTGCATCGTCGACGACAAGACAGGACATGCTGAAAGGAAAAACGGCACTTCTGTATTTTTTTGTACAGTTAGGATGGGGGGGCCCGCAGCCCGCATGGATGTCCGCGCGCGATGCGCGCCGCGTCCCGTTCCTGCCACATATTTCGCACCGTCGGCGACAAGGCAAGCCATGCTGAGAGGAAAAAGCGAAGATTTTTGTATTGTTTTTTACAGTCACGATGGGCGGGCCCGGATTGACGGCCGCGCGCGATGTGCGCCGCGTCCCATATGTGCGCCGCGTCCCATTGCTGCCACATCTTTCGCACCGTCAGCGACAAGGCAGGGCATGTTGAGAGGAAAAAGCGAAGACTTTGTATTGATTTGTTACAGTCAGGACGGGCGGGCCCAGATTGACTGCCGCGCGCGATGTGCGCCGCGTTCGATTCCTGCCACGCTTTTCGCATCGTCGGCGACAAGAAAGACGATGTTGAAAAAAATGGCGACTTTGTATTGGTTGTTTACAGTCCGGATGGGAGGTCCCGGATTGGATTGCTATCGGCCGGAATACGAGGTAGGTGGGGGTATATAATAATAAGGAACAAGGATGAGGGTGAGAGCGAGGTTGAGTATGATGATGATCGTGGTCTTGCGGTTATTGCTGAGGATGATGTTGATGCTGATGTTGATGCTTGTTATGATGATGATGATGATGATGATGATGATGGTGGTGGCGGTTATGGTGGTGATGATGACCATCATCATCATGGTGGTGGTGATGATGATGACGACGATGGCGATGACGATGACGATGACCATGATGATGGTGATGATGATGATGATGGTTATGGCGCCGATGATAACGATGGTGGTTGCTGGTGATGGTGACGATGATGGCGATACGTGAGGATAATGATGATGGTGATGCTGACGATGATGATGATGACGAGGATGCGGATGAGGATGAGTACCAGGATGAGGATGAGGGTGAGGGTGAGGATCAAGATGATGCTGATGATGAGGGTGAGGATGATGAGCATGGTGATGCTAAGCATGGTGTTGACGATACTGCTGCTGCTGACGGTGATGATGGTGGTTATGGTGGTGATGGTGATGATGATGATCATAGTAGTGGTGGTGATGATGATGATGCTGATGCTGTTGATAATGCTGATGACGATGCCGATGCCGATGACCATGATGATATGATGATCATGGTCAGGTGTCGATGGGTGTGATGATGGTACTGATGATAAGTATGATGCTGATGCTGTTGCTGATGCTGCTGCTGCTGATGATGATGAACAGGATGATGATGACGATGATGATGATGATGATGCTGATGATGATGATGATCAGAGTGGGGATGAGGATGAGGATGCGTATGAGGGTGAGGATGACGGTGAGGGTGAGGTTGAGCGTCAGGGTGAGGATCAGGGTCAGGGTCAGGCTGAGGATGAGGGTGACGATGAGGATGATGAGGATGATGATGTTGTTGTTGAGGATGTTGGTGCTGCTGATGATGATGGCGCGGGTGGGACGTATGGTGGTGGTGATGATGATGATCACAGTGGCGGTGGTGGTGATGACGATGACGATGCCTATGATGATATGATGATGGTTATGGTGGTGGTGATGATGACGGTGATGGTGATGGTAATGGTAATGTTGATGATGATTTTGACGATGCCGATGCCGATGATGATGATGCTGATGATGATGATGATGGTGATGGTGATTGTGATGATGCTGATAATCATGATGATGATAATGAGGATGAGGATGATGGTGATGATGATGATGGTGATGATGATGATGATGCTGATGCTGATTATGATGATGATGATGATGGTGATGGTGATGATGATGGTGGTGATGGGGATGGTGATGGTGATGATGCTGGTTATCATGATGATGATGATGCTGATGATGCTGATGATGAGATGATGGTGATGATGACGGGGGAACCCCCAAGTACATTCATAGTTGGCGTTATGTGTCACAGGCAGTGCCCCGTGGATCAATCTCCCTGGGTCTGGTAGATTGTTTGCCATTGAAGTTGTGTTAATGAAAGCATACATGGACATGCTGTGTTTGCCCACGCTGGACATTTGATCTGGCGAGCACAGAATGTGGAGTTCCACACGCGGCAGCGGGAGCACCATCTCAAAGCACCGAACACAACCCGATTGCAAACCAAACATATCCAAACATGCTAAGCTCATGTTTTAACATGTGGTGTATAATATAACATTTTTAGGCAGGGAGGTTCGAGCATCTTCTGGACAGGAGGAGGAAGGAGAAGGAAGGAAAAAGGATGAGGAGGAGGAGAAGGAGCTTGGATAGCAGCCCGCAGGCAGCGTGCGTTCCTGCTCTCTGGTGCTCTTCTGGCTGGTGGGGTGGTAGAGGTGCTGCTATCATTACCATCATGAACGGAGAACGGGTTGTCCACCACTCCACCGCGATTCCGAGCTCTTGGTGCGCCAGGTTGGCTTTGCCCCCCGCGCGCGCGACTATCGCCACGGGCGCGGAGCTCGCCCAGAAGCTTACCGAAAAAGGGAGGATGAGGAGAGAAGGGAGGAGGAGGAGGAGGAGGAGGAGGAGGAGGAGGAGGAGGAGGAGGAGGAGGAGGAGGAGGGGAGAGGAAGGAGGAGGAAGGAGAGGAGGAGGAGGGGGAGGAGGAGGAGGAGGGAGGGAGGAGGAGGAGGGAGGAGGAGGAGGAGGAGGATCAGGAGGAGGGGGAGAGAATGAGGAGGGAGGAGCACCCGCGAGGCCATGGAGGCGAAGCTGGGCCAGGCCGGGGACTGCTTGCTCGACGCCAGCGCCTGGCTCGGGTCGCAGGCGGGGGCTTGCTCGCCAGCGCCGCTTCGTGTGTTGCCTCCTTGCCGTGACGTGGAGACGCAAGTCGGTGCGATCGAAATTGGCACGGGAGCTCTCATCACCCTCTCCTCCTCCCTCGCTGCCCACGTGCATCACCCCCAAGTCCAGCCGCACAATTGATTTTTTTGCTGTCAACACCGTGTCCAAGAGGTTGCTAGAGTCTGCGTTGGTCGACACCACGTGGACGAAGCGGCCGCACCGACCCATATCCTTCGGATTGTCCACGGAAGGTTTGAGGCAGCAGTACCTAGTCTACACAGTTGCGAAGAAGCTCGGCACTGATCGCTTCATAGCTCCTGCGCGTGAAGGTCCTGATTGGCAGCAGCCGTCCTTGTTGGCTGAGGCTGCCGTGACTGCTAGCCTCCAGAGTCCAGTCCGCGTAGCCGGGAGCCTCCTGTCGAGAGCGTGGGCGGCCTTTGCCCGTACTGCCGAGAAGGAGGTCAGTGCGGCTACTTGCCAGACGCCGTCTAGCAGTGCTACTTGCGGGGCGCCGCCCAAAGCAAGATGGGTCGACTTTAACCACCGACCCGAGAGCGTATCCGATGCGAAGGCGATCTCCCGTGGATGGACATGGCTGGCCCAACCGTTGGAGAATCGATGCGAGCTGCTGAGGCACAAGTGCACCACTGTGCCGTGCTTGGAAGCCGAGGTGGAGGTCTTCTCGTCGGCAGAATATCACGGCCAGGGCCTATGCGCTCGCTTTGACTCCAGCGTCTTGGAGGCACGGATCGCAGTTGGCCATGCAGCAGTCAGAGCAGCGGGTATGGATGGTCCCCTGCCAGCACCATCGACTGGACACTCAGGCTCGGAAGTTGCAGCCGAGACCGTTCTCATGAATGCATCTCCAGTGCAGGCAGTACAGCAAGTTGATGGCTTGGCTCCTGTCTTGCCCGCTGTTGGGCAGCTTGAGTTTCAGCTTGTGGAGCCTGATATTGACCAGGACGACTTCTTCGGCCTCAACGTGCAGCCTGATGTGCAGGCCTCAGCACACGCCAGTATGTCGGTGCAGACTCGTCAGTCTAACATTAACATGCCTTCGTCGGAAGTGGCTCCTCCGAACGCTGTGCCAGGACAGGTGGATGAACCTTCCCCTACCGAGAGAGATTGTGCCAGCACGGTTCTGGTCCCTGAGCACCACCAGCACATCAGCACCAAGGCGACGACTCGTTCGAGACGCAGGCTGTTCCTCGCCTTCACCTTGACTGCCACCAGGCGGCCGAAATACTGGAGCAGTACTGCATCGATTTAGCGGGCGACGTGCGCCAATCTGAGCTGGATGATGTCAAGGACGATCGCCAACGGTGGCAGGACTGGTGCGATTCGGCATCGCCAAATGGAGCGCGGGGGCTGCACCGTACCACACGTGCGCCCAACGCGCCCCACCCCACGGTGGTGCGAACTGCTGGGGGGCTCTCGGCTCACCCACATGACATAGTCGAGGCCGAGGTGAGGAAGTATGAGAAGCTGCGGCATGCTACCCAGTTCCCAAGTCAGGCCTGGACGCCCGACAGGTCAGCGATGGAGCGAGCCAGTGCAGAGACCATCCGCGACTTTGCCAACTGTTTCCCGCATGCCATTACAGCGAGCCCTGACCGCGTGCACCCGCGCCATGTCGGCTTGCTCCCCCAAGAGGGACTTGAGACAATGGCGGCGCTGTTCGAGGCCTGTGAACGGATCGGCCTGCTGCCGCGCCAGCTCCGCTTCATCGCCATGCCGATGCTGGCAAAGCCCGATCAGGGCCACCGATTGATCATCCTCTACTAGGGGGTGTACCGCGCATGGCAGCGCCTGCGCCGTCGCGACCTGGCCGTGCCCCACCAGCGTCTGCGACGCCCCTGCTGGGGCGCCGCCGCAGGCCGCAGCGCGCTGGACCTTTCATGGCTTCAGGCAGCGCGCAGGGCATCCCGCTCGAGGTCCTGCGTGATCGGCTCCAGGCCTGCGGCATGCTCATGCCGATCCCAGAGCTGATGTTCAACGCCTGGCAATCGCCGCGTATCATTCGATTGGCGCTGCATCATAGTGGCATAGCCTTGTTCGCCACCTTTGGTTTGCCAGCAGGGTGCGCCTTCGCAGATGTTGCAGCCCGCGCTTTCACGATCACTGAGTATGACCAGTTTGTGCGTCGCAACCCGTCCGTTGATTTCATGAGCTACATCGACGACGCCGGAGTGCACGTCAGCGGTCGAGATCGCGATGTCGTGGCAGGCTTTGCGGTCCAAGCTGGAGTTCAGTTCCGGGCAGTTTCTCGTCGGCTACAGGCCGCCCTCAATGATGAGGTCGCCGTTGTTGCTAGTGATAGCGCCCTGGGTTCGGACGTGGCCACTAAGATCGGACTGGCCAAAGAGAAGTCTAAACCAGCGGCGGCTTACCTTGGTACTGACTTCAACTGTGGCCGTCGACGCGCACATCCACTCGCAGCTGGAAAGAGGAAGTCTCGCCTGCTAACGTCCACAGGCATCAAGATGGCGGCTCATTACGGCGTGGAGGTCAACGGCGTCGACGACCAGGAATTGCTCGCCATCCGTCGCCAGGCCGCGGCCTACCTGGCGCCGGCGACGCGGGGCGCCAGCCCGCGCGCCAAGCGAGCCTTGCGTGGCGAGCCTGCGGTGCGAGAGGCCATGGCACCAGCGCTCCATTGGTCTAATATGATATGGCAGGCTGTCGCTTTCCCGTCTGAGGCACTTGTGAGCCTTGTCGAATTCGAGCGGATGTGGAGCCGCGTTTTTTCCAGGACTTGTCGGACTCGCCCTGGGCCCATGCCCGCGGACCGATTTCCAAGATATCGCTTTGCCTTGCTCGCGCAAGGTGAAAGCCAGCCTCGGCCACCGCGCGGGTCGACCAGGATGGAATAACTATCCAGCTCACGCAGTGCTCTCCCGCAATGCTAGGTAGGATGTTTAGCGCTGCGTTCCAGGATGCCGATGAGAAGGCTCTGGGGGAGAGGTGGGGTTGCGCTGAAGGGGCCAGGGCTAACCTGGACGTAGTGAGGGCCTGCCTCAAGTCTACGGCTAAATTCAACAAGTTTCAATAATATTTAGTGCGAGCTGCAGTGTGCGATTGTCTCTGGACTGAGCAGCATGCTTATGATAGCGGATGCCGCGCTTCCAGAGCGGGCCGCCGCGAGTGCGGCGAGCCCGACACTGTGCATCACCGTTTGTTTTGTTGCGAACTCCCAGCTGTTGCCCAGGCTCCTCGCGAGGCGGAAGTCCCGACCACTTTCCTGGAGGAAGCTAAGGGGAACCCAGCCAGCCTGCTCCATACCCTAGGTGTTGTCTCGGTGCTCCCAGGGGCCATCCCTCCTGTCGTTGGGGCCCCCGCGGCCGAGGTCCTGGGCGTGTTTTTGTTTTGGGGGGGGGTCCCGATTTGGAGCCCGAGCAGGTGGTCCAGTTTGTAGGTCAGAATGGCAGTCTGCACATCGCGGTGGACGGCAGCAGCACAATGCCGATTTTGTCATGTTTTCAGCGTGCTGCTTCTGCGGTCGCACTGTTCGACCCCAAGTCCGAGGCCACCATTACCGTGGTGCGTGGCACAGTGCCTGGACGTTTCCCGCAGTCCCCCGCGATGGCAGACAATTTCTCGATTGCTGTCGCCTGTCATATTGCAGATCGCAGGACGAGTACGCATGCCGATTGCAAAGCAGCCGTAGCCCAGGCCCTTCTCCCGGAGCACGAGCAGCTTCGTGCAAGCAAGGTGTTTGCAGGGGTCTCGGCTTTCGCCCGTTCGCTCAGCGGGCATGGCCATGCAATGTCAATCCAGCGCGTTAAAGCGCATCGGAGCGAGGGCGCGATAGATAGCTTGCCGCCTGGGGGGCGGGGCCCTGCGAAAGGAAATCGCGCTGCGGACCTGCGTGCGAAAGAAACGCTGAAGTTGCACGCCCCCATTGGTCCTGAAACGGCCAATCGTCTTGAGGCTGACGTCAAGACCGCCAGTATTTTCGCTCAGCTCGCTGCCAGCGTGTTGCCAGTATTCCAGTCGCGAGCGAAGCGCGAGTGGCCCTTCGCCCGACGCCGCTCAGCGAAGTCCACCCCTGGGTGGCATGAGTGGGAGAGTGGACCGTTGGGTGTTCAGTGTAAGCATTGTCTGGCGGTTGCCCATGATGGTGCTCCCCAAAAGGCTCTGGGTTGCTCCTGGGCCCCCGAGTTCGTTCGTCAGGCCCGCCGTTCCCTGGGGCACCTCATTGTTGGTGTGGCCTCGCACGAGATCCACCCCAGAGCCCCAGAGCCCCCTGCGTTCAAGGTGCCCCCGTAACCTCGATGAGGAGCGCCAGCGTCCCTCAAGGAAGGGCAGCGAATTACTTATCAAGTATTCGCGAGGTCTGGGCCCCAGCAACCGAATCCGTCAGTTGAGTAGTGGAGCTGCAGCGGTCGCTGCAATGTCTGTGGTCCCCAAGCCGCGTTGTAAGACTCTGGCTCGTACGTCTAGCCCCTCGGCCCTGTGGAGTGCCCCCGCCGCCCCTGTGCATGAGCGGCGGTTGGCTGCGCCCGCCGGGCGAGTGCGGGCCAAGGGGGCTATGGAGGCCGAGGAATAGTTTTTTGGGCGGTGGCACCCCGCCGCGGGCCCTGGTCAGAGCGCGGGGAGCTCTGTCCTCCAGGGTAACACATCCCTTTCTGAAGGGTGGCACTTCCCCCCTGTCGTTTAGTCTTGCGAGACTCTTCCCCTCGGGGCTGACCTAACCTAACCCCTTCCTCCTCGTCCTCCTCCTGCTCCTCCTCCTCCTCCGCCTCCGCCTCCTCCTCTTCCTCCTCCTCCTGCGCCGCAGCAGCTGCCATGGGCCTCGCCCTCACGCAGGCCGATATCATGAAAGACGTGGGATGCGACACCACCATTGGGAGGGGGAGACGCAGAGCGACCCAGGCCAAGCGCACATCAATGGCCAGGCAGAGGAAGAAACGGGCCAAACTGTTCCCGCGGGCAGCCCGATGGAGAAGACGATCAGCGAGCCTATACCGCACCAACATCAGGGCCAAACAGCAGCACGACCAGGCCGCGACGGGCATGACCCCACATGACATCGCCAGGGCACGAGCTGAGGCATCAGACATGGCGGGCATCACGGCGGGGCACCGTTGCACGGCTACGGTCCTCATCCTCGCGCACGGCGACAAGGAACCGTGGGCGGCCGACGTCATTCGTCAACTCCGCGAATGGGTGCGCATGTGGCGCCGCAATGATGACTTGCACGACCACCTCCGCGAAGCATGGCATCGCGCGCATATCCACCTGAACAGCGTCACCAAGCGAGGCCGCTGGATGGCCGCCACGGGTCCCATGGCAGCCCTTCAGCTCACTCTCGAGATCCTCGACTGGAGGGGCAAGAAGCGGATCGGTGGACAGACCGCCGCGGTCACACGTGGCAAATCCCAGATGCCGTGGATGCCGACCTCACCGAGGTCGAGGATGCCAACAAGGACGCCGCGACCAGCCCCCTTTGGAGCTAGGCGAGCAGGCACCCTGAAGGGCAAGGACTCCAGAGAGGCGCCGACATCTCCGCGCTCCAGAGCAGCGCGCGCTTCTTCCGTAAGCTGGAGAGGCACCAAGAGGCAGGCGCGCTCGAAGCATCCGCATGTGCAGCGATTTGGACCAACCAGAAGTGCCACGCAGCAGGATACCACACTCAACCGACGTGCACCCGCTGCCAGCTCGGAGTAGACGACACGCCATTCCACATACTGTACGAGTGCCCAGCCACGGACGCCATCGACCACCAGTGGGTCACCAGCACGGCGGCCCTGGCCGCCAGGGCGCGAGCAGTCAAAGACGACCCGCTAGAGCACGCCTTTTGGGTCAGATGTACCCTACCCAACGAAATGTGCCCCGTCGACCCCCCCCCCCCCCCCCCGAGTGGGGCAGCCTCGACGACACGCACTGGGCGGTCGGGAATTTCGGCGCGCGCACCCGTGACACCCGCACCGTGGCCGCTGCAGTCGCATACACCGACGGCTCAGCCACGTCAGGCGATAAGCGCATCGCCCGAGCAGGATGGGGCATAGCGTTGGAGCTGCCCGAAGATGCTGGCATCGACATCGATGACTACCCAGGCTGGCTCGGCATCTTGGACGGGCCCCAGACCGTCGCAGCAGCAGAGCTCGCAGCCATCTACTGGGCGCTCAAGCTCACCCACGGACCGCCCACTATCGCCACGGACTCCCAGACGGTGGCGGACGGGTGGCGCAGCTACAGCTATGCCCACCCAGAGGGTATCCTGGCAAGATGGCGGCAGCGCATCCAAGATGCTATCAGAGAGCGAGCTGGAGGCATACGAGACGTCACCGTCATCAAGTGCTACTCGCACATCGACGTCATCACGATCCAGAAGACCAGGCAGCCCATGCGCGTCACCAGAGGGAACGAGCTCGCAGATGGGTACGCTCAGAGAGGAGCCGAGATCGCAGCCAACTGCATCGCCCCTCAGGTCGCCGCCCTGCTCGAGAGAGAGAGAGAGAGAGAGAGAGAGAGAGAGAGAGAGAGAAGCTCCTCAAGCGCATCCACCGCAGAATAGGTGCCGTTGCTGCTCACCTTGCAGGACTCGACCACCCGCACCTTACCCGCACGCGCCAGTGGGGCGGAGGAGTCAAGGCATTCCACACACGCAAGCAGGTCGAGGAAGAGACGGGCCACCGAATGCACAAGCGGACCGACGGCAAGTGGGTCTGCCTCGAATGCAGCAAGGGGCCTGGCAAGTACTCCATGATCGACTGCGGACACACGGCTGCAGTTCAATGCCAATGGTAGCCAACAGCAGCGGGCTGGCCACCAAGGTCCCCAAGACGGAGTACGCCACCCTCATGAACCAAGGGCCGATCCACCCAACGCACAACCTAAGCTACTTGCATGGGCAATGCTGGTGCTGGCGATGTGGAGCAATGGGCCCCCTCACCGCCGATGGCAAGAGCCGCATGCTACGACGCCGACGCAGATGCCGAGGTTGGACAACGCCAGCAGCCAAGCACCAGCTCGACCGCCTTCGGCGAGACAAGCCCCCCAAGCCAGGCAAGACCAAGTGGCCCGACGGCGCGGGCGCCAAGCCCGACCCGCCCCGCAAACCCAGAGCCAGCCGCTCAGCGCGCGCAGCAGCGAGAGAAGCGGGCACAGCCAAGCGGAAGTGGCAGCACAGAGGTCCATCGACGCTCCTGCCTGCAGACCACTCGGGCATGAGAAAGCGAACCAAAAGCAAAGGCGAGTACCTGCGGGCTGGAACGCCGCAACCGACGTCTCGAGCAAATCCAGGAGATGGCCCCCCCTGGTTCAGGAGTAAATTATGGCGACAGGAGTCTCAGCGATACAAATCCTGGAGATGGCCTTCCAGGTTCATGAGTAAATGGCTCGTCGAAGTCTCAACCAAATCCTGGGGATGGCCTCCCAGATTCCGGGGTAAATTCAGCCGTCGGGAGGAGTCTCGAACAAAATCCTGGGGATGGCCTCCCAGGTTCAGGCGTACATTGCGGCCCAGCCACGTGCTCAGCCAAGCGAAGCTCAGGAAAACCCGCTGACCTAGCCGAAGCACCGAAGCAGCCCAATCAACGACCGAGACAGGGCACACGCAGACCTCGGGCCACCAGCGCTGACAACTCCACCAAGCGCCGATGCGATGACCACCGTGAGCAGCCAGACGACGTGGAGTGCACCAAGGACGACGGGCCCGACCTACACGCCAAGGTCTCGGGGCATTCGGCCGAGACAGAAGGGATGCAGAGGGGTGCCCTTCCCCCAACCGATGCAGGCCAAGGCGCTCGGCCACTTGACAGCTCACGGCCGCGCAGACCTGATCGTTCAGGCAGCCCACCGACTGAGCCCACCCAGGCCAGACCTGACGAGCCCAGAGGGAGACGCACACGAGAGCACAGTCTGCTGGACTCGAGCTCCCCGGCGAGCAACCGCTCACGCGGTCCCGCAGGTCGCCGAGGACAAGCTGCACAGCACCAAGAGGAGGAAGGCGAAGCGCCGAGCGACGAGGTGGCCCAACTCCAAACGGGCCCAGCGCTCCACCACGCCAAGCTGAAGGAGTGCGGCAATGACATCCACGGCGTAGTGGCGCAGGAGAACTTGGAGCCACTTGAGACCGCGCTGGAGCAACTTTCAAGCTGGTGGATCACCGATCTGGTCGACAGCCACGCGGGCAGAGTCAGCTGGAACGGCCTATGCGTGGACTACATCAAGCGGGAGTTGCGGCGCGAAGACTTCGAGGGGGTTTTTCATGTACGTCAGCGACGCCAATTATGATACCGAACCCCAACGCCGTGCCCAACATATATGCGACCGTGGATGGGACGGTGGGCACATCCTGTGGGAACGGCGGCTGGCCCACGCGCACGCCCAGGATGGCGACGACTTAACCATAGCGATGCAGCGCTTCACTGCCTACCAGGCCGCGGCAAGGGCTTTCCTCATCCCCAGGCAGCAGACACACCACCATGAGGCGTTCCGCGTAGGGCACCTCAACATCTCAGCGGACTACACCTCCATAGACCAGAATGGGTCCAACGCCAGCGCCGAGGCCACAGGAGCATGACCCAGGCAACGACTCCTACGCCGACAACGACTCCAGCGGGACAGCAGGAGGCACTCCAGTGACAGCGGCAAGAATACTGGACGAGCAGCAGCGCGTGACGGTCATCCAAGGACCTCAGCACCCAGTAGCAGCAGACCCTGCAGATGCGCATGACGTAGCGGCTCCAGCAGCGGAGCAGCTCCAAGCCCCAGCGCAGGCTGCAGCAGCAGAGGACGCAACAGTTGCACTAGACGGAACGACCCGTGCAGAGGGGCCGCCCCAGGCCCCAGCGCAGGCTGAGCCAGCAGGGCCAGTCGAGCCAGACGCTCCGAGGTCCAGGTCCCCGCGCTCAGGACGGAGGCGGGCGCAATCTATCAGCAACAAATCCACGGGCAGTGACGACGGGGCGCAGGAGACCAGGCCAACCCACACCTCCCTCAGCCTGAACGCCCTCTGCCGACAGCTGCGGGACTACGCGGCCACGTGGGTACACGACCTCGCTGCGCCAGAAGCGGGGCAAACATCATGGACGGCATGGGGCAACCAGTACGTCACGGCGCTGCTCAGCAACCCTATTCACAGGCGCCTGCGCGACGAAGTGGAGTTCATCGCAGGCATCGACGGCATCACCAGCTACGTACGCGGCATCATCAACCTCGCGTGGATCGACACGCGGCTGACGGACCACATCCAGTCCCTTCGGGTTAGCGAATGGCTGCACGTGGTCGCGATGCACTGGGCCAACCTTGACGAGGTCCACCGAATGATGACGGACACGCTCAACGGCGAGCTCACCATCCTTGGAGGCCAGCCACCAGAGTGGGCTCCGCCACACGGCACTGCCGCAGGCGTCTGGTATGGACCACCCACATTACCAGCACCCGCGCTGCCGAGACCAGCTTGCATCCCCAACTGGCTCGTCACGGAAGGCTGGAGGCGACCATGGCCTAATTGGGACCAGGCGCCCGAACCAGACAGCGACGACGACAACTACCACCATCCTGATGCGGCACCTTCTCACGGCGGAGTTGGCCAGGCCCATCCACAACTACAACCACAGGCTGGGCAGGACCCCGCCGAAGGTGCTCAGCAGCGCCCAGCCAGCCAGGCAGGGGCCGCCGAGGAAGCAGCAGCGACGGACCTGCCGACACTCGGTGCACAACAAGTCGACCAGCCACAAGCCGAAGCAGTACCAGGAGCTGAACACCGACGCCGAAGCGCTACTGTGCAGGCCTGGCGAAGTATGATAGCAGGCGGGCGCAGCCGACCCGAGGAGGAAGACGACATGCAGCTCATGCAGACTGCCGTGGGGCCGGCGGGCCACACCGGCTGGGCGCACCCAGCAGTCGTCGAACTTGCACCGCCCGTGGGGGCGGAGGCGCCAGTCAGCACCAAGGCCGACACGCGCGGGAATGCGACCAAGCGTCCCGCGCAGCGGCCTGCAGGCAAGCCACAGTGCAAGGCGCGTCGCCCAGCGGGACCCGACGCCAGCCCAGACGCGCAGGCCGTGACAGGATCCCCTGCGGCCAGAGAGGCCATGGCAGCTGCCGCAGCCCGCCGCGAGGCCAGGCTCAAGGAAGTACTCAACAGGAGTTCTCGCAGCCACGTGGACGACAGCATCGAGCTCGTCCAGGGTGAGCTCCACGTCATTGCGGACCACGCCATCGTCACCAAGTCCCCCTTCATCAAGAAGGACCGCCCAGGACAGTCGTCGGCAAGGACATGCACCCGCTCGGTGCCTTCAGGGCGCAGGGGCCGCCTCGACGAGCTCACGAGGGCCATCGGCCTGATCGGAGCTGAATGGCTTCCCCGCGAGTTCCTGCGGAACGAGGAGTTGGACGAGCAGCAAATGTGGTTGAAGTGGTGCGTCCCCTTTGCGCTGCAGCAGCTGGAGGCCAAGGACATGGACTGCCTGTTCAACGCGACGGACGATGACGACTACTGCGACTACAAGAAGCAGCTCGCGGAGGAGGTGTGCCGCACAGCGCGGGGCCGCAGCGTCTCCCTCCGCGAGGTCCCGCGCACCAAAATCCGCGAGCGACGGCAACAAGGGCAGGGGCTCACCGACGACCAGCAGCGGATGGCCAAGACCTTCCTCAGGCTCAGTGGCGTGGGCAGCCCTGACTTCCAGCCGCTGATCCTCCACAACAGCGAAGGCCAGCCTGACAGCAGCGGAGGCGATGGCAGAGCCAGGATCGGCACGGCCGAGGCCGTGGCGCTGTTCTTGGCAGCGGCAGCAGCTCGGCCCAGCCCCCGCGAGGATGAGGCACGCAGCGCTGATGATGACGGAGAAGCCGCGCCGAGACCAGCCGCTGTGCAGGCTAAGATCAACCGCGACGACTGGAAGGACCGCTTAGAGGAGCAGATCCACCACGCGACCCAGCCAGCGGCAGCCGCGGCAGCAAGCGCTGACGCCAGAGGAGGCGCGAAGCAGCAGCCGCGCGCGGCGCGGCGGACGCGGCAGCTGCCAGGAGGGGGCGAGGTGCAGCAGCCTGCCAAGGTGGCCCGCGCCGCGCCTGCTGCAGGAGGAGGAGGAGGAGGCCAGCAGCCCTCCATCCGCCTCCTCCTGGGCTAGTGTACAGCTCAGCTGCGCGCGCCGCAGAACGGCTGCGCGCTATGCCCCGCTCAGCACGCTGGGGCACGGCGGAGGCGCGGGCCACCAGCTTGGCTCGCGAGCCACGCCGAGCGGCGCAGGCAGCCGCGCCGCGGGCGCTGAGCGCCAGCGGCTGCGCGCGCGGGCGGGGGCGCGGGACGGCCGCGAGCCGCCCGCCGCGCGCGGGCGCGGGACGCGCCCGAGTTAGGTGGTGGGGCGCCACGGGCGCCCCCCACCTCAAGAGACGTCCCAAGAGGCGTCCTCCTGCTCCTCCTCCTCCTCCTCCTCTCCACGTCCCTTTTCCTCCTCCTGCTCCTCCCCTCACCCTCTTCACCTCCTGCCTCCTCCTGCCTCCTCCTCCTCCTCGTCCTCCTCCTCCTCCTCCTCCTCCTCGTCTGAGCGGACGGGAAGTGTGCTGCCACGATGTGTGGTTGTTCCAGTCCCAAAAGGTCCGCTCGCACTCCCGCAGGTTATGAGCTCAGCGCGTTAGTGTCCAGCATCCTGCCTCAGGTGCTGCTTAGATTTAGGTCCGATGGCAATCGTTGCAAAAGAAAGAACGATCCCCGACTTCGACGACCCAGATCTCGATGACGATCTCCGTACACCCGATTGTGATCGTGGCTCTCTTGTCTCGCAATTCTTGAATCGCTTCGCTCATTCCGCTGGCCCATATTGCACGCCTTGGAGGCCTTTTGGGGCTTCCTGGGGGCCTCGTCGGGCGCAAAGTTCGAATCGTCGGTTCGTGCTCACCCTCTTCGGCCTGTTTTGGGCCCGTTCTGGGGTTCTCTTGGGCGCCTCTTGGGCCGTTTCGGGGCTGTCTCGAGATGTCTTGAGACTTTCTTGGGGGTCTTTGGCAGTCTTGGGGCGGTCTTGGAGGCCCCTGGGGCCGCCTTGGATCTTCGGATCGGACCCTCGATAAGGCAATAGCGTGAAAAACATTTAAGCAGCCAATCAAAATCATTGAAAATTGTTTCTGTGGGCCCTCTCGGGGGACCTCTTGGAGCGCTCTTGGGGCTTGTTCGGGGCCTCTCCGGCCGTCTTGGAGGCATTTTCGGCCATCTTGGCGGCTTTGTTGGCCTCAGGTCCGTCTTGGAAACTATCTTGGTCATCTGGGACGCATCGAGGGGGCATTGAAGAGCGCCTGGAACCCATCCCATTGTTGCGCGCGTGTTGTGGGTCAAAATCGTCAGGGATGCTCGTGGCGAGCGAGAAGGAAGAGGAGGAGGAGGAGGAGGACGAGGACAAGGACGAGGAGGAGGAGGAGGAGGAGGAGGAGGAGGAGGACGAGGGGTGAAGGAGGAGGCCTCTCGACCGCTTCTTGGGGCATTTTGGGGCCAAACTGGATCGTGGACAAAACGCCTGTTTGGGAGTCTGCTTGGGGTTTCTTGGAAGGCCTCTCGGGGGCCTCTTCGCGGTATGTATGTGATCTCCGGGGGCCTCTTGAGGCCTTTTGCGAGCCTCTTGGGGGCTTCCTGGGGCCTTTGAGGGCCTCTCGGGGCCGAGAGCTGAATTGTCCGTTCGGGTGCCTCGTCAAGGCCCCTCTTGGAGCTCTCTTGGCGGCCTCTTGGGCCGCCTTGGAAGGCTCTTGGGCTGTCTTCGGGCCCTCTGGGGCCGTTTTGGGGGCCCTCTTGGAGGCGTCCGGGGCCGTACTGGGGCGATCTTGAGAGCCTCTTGGGCCGTCTTGGAGCGCGGGTTAGACGAAAAGGCGAGAACGCCTAAATCCTGGAAAAGCCTAAGGAGATCCATTACTTTTGCTTTTGGGGGCCCTCTTTGGAGGGCTCTTGTGGCCTCTGAGGGCGTGTGAGAAGCGTCTTGGGCCATCTGAAGGCCACCTTGGGTGTGTCTTGGACCGATCGTTCGACGACTGGGAGCTCTCGTGGACCGTTTGGGGGGCCTCTTGGGGCCCTCTTGGAGCGCTCTGGTGGGCCTGAAGGGCGGCGCCCAGAAGAACAACCATCTCTGATCCGTATGGGCCGGGGCACTTTTCGTCCGGGGACCGGCGAATGTCACACACCTTTGACACGGACTGTTTCTTTTCCTGTGACGGACAGTCGCCACGCTGAGCCACGTCCGACTGGAGGCAGAGCTCTTGGGAGGTTGCCGGCGACACCACCAAGACAACAGCAATCCACGCAGGTCGACGCGCTCCGCGTGCCGGCACGGGACAGTCGCGACGGTGCGCCACGTCCGATTGGAAGTCCTGCGCGCAGCCCAAGGACAGGGACAGCACACGGGGGCACCACACACAGAGTGCACAGCGCAAACCTTCCTCGTGGCACGACTGGGCGAGAGCTTGGCCGAAGTGGCCCGGGAGCTTCCCGCTGCTCCCTCCCGCGGCGACCGCGGCACACACCCGTTGCCCGCCCTGCTGGGCGGCGCCAGAAAACTGTGCGCTGGCCGAGCGTTTCCGCCTGTGGCGCGCTTGGTCCTCCTCCTCCTCCTCCTCCTCCTCCTCCTCCTCCTCCTCCTCCTCCTCCCTCCTCCCTCCTCCCCCCCCCCTCCTCCTCCTCCTCCTCCTCCTCCTCCTCCTCCTCCTCCTCCTCCTCCTCCTCCTCCTCCTCCTCCTCCTCCTCCTCCTCCTACACGAAACTAGCCGGGTGGTGTGGGCTGCAGGCGCAAGGGTTCGCGGAGGCTCTCCTTGCGCCCGTCCTCGGTCCTGCCTCGGACAGTTCTTGGGTGCGCAGCGAGCCCTGGCTCACCAAAACGAACAGAGCCGTGCATTTCAACTACGCGAACCGCCAACGACGACTCTGGCTCCCAGCTTTCCGACTCCGGCTGCCATTTTTCCGAATCCGCACCGGGCCTTCCGACTCCAGCGTCCAAGTTTCCATTTCCAGCTCCCTACGTTCCGACTTCGGCCGAGCTCCGAGTGCAGACCCGAGGCGCCCCGGCGCACCCGCCGTTCCCTACAAGGGACGCCCTCTGGGCGACATCGGCGCCGCTCCGCCCCGCCAACGACGACACGAGCCTCTGCTGAACGGGTGCTGCTCGCACGGACGGGGTGTCCACATTGGCTTCGCTACACGGCGCCATCATGGCGCCTTCCACGGCGCACACAGCAGCCTTGCACGACAACCTGGCATCGCCAGTGCCAGTCTCAGGCCACGGCAAGCTACAACGCGCGCTGAAGGTATTGAAGGCAGGGCTGTCCGAACTTCACGCTGCGCACTCTGGACCGTCCAACAAACACCACCGGTTTGTCTTGCGAGTACCATTTGTACGTACGAGGGGAGATAGATGGTTTGTCCGGACAACCCAGACGCCATCATCAAGATGGCAGATGCAAAAGTATGGCGTTCTGACCAGAGAAGTGTGCTCTTCGCGAGAAGCGAAGGTACCAGCGAACGCAGTGCGCGCAGGCAGAGACGACAAAGGAAACGAGAAGGACGAGGACAAAAGGATGCCAAAAGGCGGCGAAGGCAAGGGCCAGCAAGCTTGGATTCCTTGCTCGTTCTACCTCAGTGGGTACTACCGCGGGGGCACCGACTGCAAGCTCCCCCGCAGGGAACGCCCCGAGAGTGCCACTTGCACGAGCCGCGCGCCGCGTCGGCCATCAGCCTGGACACTGGGGCAGCGACTGCCCCTCCCTGCAGGAAACCCTGGGGGTCGGGCCCGGAGCAGGACCAGGGAACGCCTGAGGAGCCGGGGAGGGGGGGGGGCGTGACGGGGACAACGTCCAGGGAGGAGGAGGAGGGGAAGGGGGAGAGGAGGGAGGAGGGAGGAGGAGGGGAGGGGGAGGAGGAGGAGGATGAGGAGGAGGAGGAGGAGAGGAGGAGGAGGAGGAGAGGGGAGGGGAGGAGGGGGAGGGGGAGGGGAGGGGGGAGGGGGGGGGAGGGAGGAGGGGAGAGGAGGAGGAGGAGGAGGAGGAGGAGGTGGAGGAGGAGGTGGGGGTGGCTGTCGCGTGCGGCCGGGGTCTGCCACGCCGCCCCGAGCATCCCCCCGCGCGCGGCCGCCCGTGGCCCTCGGAGGCTGGCAGACCTCCTGCCCTGGCACGCCGATTACAGTCGACACGCAGAGTGAGGATAGGCATCCCTCCCAAGGGGTAACTCCTGCATCCTTGCCTCCTGGGTCCATCCTTGGACACTTTCGTTGGCCGCGCCCCGCTCGAAACGCTTCGAAGTGGGCGTCCAAGGCCCTTGCATCCTTCTCGCGCATCCTTACCATCCGGGTTGACTGCAGCGCGAATGGGGCCGTGTTCGCTTCGCGGGAGGGCGTCGCGGCCGTCCCTTTCGCGGGTCCGGCGCCGTCGGTTTCGGTCCTGGGCCGTTTTTTCACGAAAGGGTGGTTGACTGAAGGCTTGGCATCGCTCGGACGTGTGGATTTTTTCCTCGGTGGGGACCATCGAGGAGCATCCTTGATCATTTGGCGAAAAAACCGCGCACGAAACCAAAAAAAGCACAGGGAATGGACGTCCGAGCGATGGCGAGAAGGGAGGTCTGTCCACCGCCGAGTGGCGCCGGCAGGACCGGATGCGTGAGCCGAGTCGCCAACCTCCCTTTAGGGTGCCACTTCTGGGAGGTCCGATGCCGAAGCGGCGCGGGTGCTTCCTCTGGCGACAAGGGGCCTTATCCGGCTGAACCATGTTTCGTCCGACTTAATTCCGCTCAATCCTGCTTAATCCCAGGCTCAATCGGGCCTGATGCGGCCAAGTAGCTCCGCAATCGGGCTTGATCGCCCTTAATCTTTCCAAGGAAGCATTCCCAGGAGTTGTTTCCTAACCTCCCCTCTGCTTCCCCCCCTGGGGCTCATCTGTTCGGCTCTAGTTCGGCTCTCGTTCGACTCCAGCTCGGCTCAGGTTCGACTCAGGTTCGACTCCAGTTCGGCTCGAGTCGACGGACGTTCGACGCAGCTTCTGCACACGAGTGGAGCGAGAGGCTCCGGGAAGGCCCCCAGGATGAGCATCTAACCTTTTCGTCCGACCCGACCCTCTTTCACCCTGTGCCCACCTTGGAGTCTTAAGTCGGGCATGTCCCTCTACAGGAGGAAAATTCAAAAAATTGTCAAAAAGTAGTCTGGGGACGATCTTAAGATTTTTTTGGACTGTTTTTGATTTGTTTGAGTGTTTTTAATTTTTCGTCCAAAATCCGCCTGTAGGGGGACATGCCCGACCTAACTGTAGTCGGGGGGTCTTGCCCCACTCCCCCTTTCCTCTTCCTCCTCACCTTCTTCCAGTGGTAGAAGGTCTTGGGGTCCCAGCGGGAAGGCGGAACATCGACATGACACTGAGTTCGGCCTTGGATTTTTTCCATGGGGGGAGACTGCTCTTGGGTTGTTTTGGTGGCAAGCCGAGACGCTCCGCCTCCGACAGGCGCATCACACTCTTTGCTCTCTCTTTTTCCCGTCGTCCCTTTTTCTGTCGCCCTTGTCCGCCCCCTTGCAGTCGGACCTGCTCCGGGTTCCGCTGTGCAGAAAGAAGGAGCCCGCGCTCCCCCCCCCCGTCGGTTGCCGAATCTTCCGTCGCCCCTCTTTCTCGCGCAGCTTCTCGCCTCTCTCTTTGCCTCAGGCCTCTCTCGCTTCCCTGGCAGATCCCCGCGGCCAAAGTTTCTCTCTTCCCTTCCACTTCTATCAGATCGTCTACGGCGCCGCTGCCCCTAGTTCCTTTCTTGGCTACCTGGTTTCTCTCTCTCTCTCTGAATTCACCTCTCGGTCTCCGAGAGGCGATGGGGAGAGATGCCCCATCTAAGATCGCATCAGTCTCCATCGCCCGCACGTGACATGTCATGGAGTGTGTTGCACGCGCAGGCAGACGCACTCCGTCAGCGGCCAGCGGGCCGTAGCATCCGAGCGTTGCGACGTCCCCTCCGCACTGGCTGTGAGTCGGCGGGATGCGCCGAGGGACGCCTGCCGCAGAGGAGGAGTCGGCATGAACCCATGCTCTGGGACACTCGCGCGGAGCCTCCGACAGCGCCCGATCGTGCCGCCCCCTCCTCCGCCAGTTCTTTTTCGGCGGCCGGTGCAGAGGAGGAGTCGGCATGAGCACGTGCTTCCCGGGAAGCTCGCGCAGGAGCTTCCTCTTCCGCCAGTTTTCAGGAGGGGAAAAAACACACAGCCACAATTCATCGTCGACCCCCAGGAACAGATTGGGAAGCATGGGAAGTGGCGGGGAAGACAACAACCCTGAAAATATGGAAACACACGGGGAATATTTTTATTTGTGTGTATTTATTTGTGTGCCCTTGGGCCCCTTCAAGTTTGTTCGGGGGCCGGTGCGGAGCGCAACGGCGCGGCACCGGCAGCGCTCCGGGCAGCGGCCGAGGCAGGAGCCGCGCGCACGGGCGCCGCGCGGGCCGCGCGGGGGGCTCGTGCGGCGGTCGCCGGCGCGGGGGGGGCGGAGGGCGGCAGGCTGAGGTCGGGCCTGTCCTCCTCCTCCTCCTCCTCCTCCTCCTCCTCCTCCTCCTGCTTCTCCTGCTCCTCCTCCTCCTCCTCCTCCTCCTCCTCCTGCTTCTCCTCCTCCTCCTCCGCTTCTCCCTCCTCCTCCTCTCCTCCTCCTCCTCCTCCTCCTCCTCCTCCTCCTCCTCCCCTCCCCTCCTCCTTCTCCTCCTCCCCTCCTCCTCCTCCTCCTCCTCCTCCTTCCTCCTCCTCCTCCTCCTCCCCTCCTCCTCCTCCTCCTCCTCCTCCTCCTCCTCCTCCTCCTCCTCCTCCTCTCCCGAGCCCCAGGACAGGCCCAGGCTGGGCCCCAGAGCGGGAGTGGGGCTCCAAGGCAGCCCAGATGGCCCCAGCGTGGCCCCAGATGGGCCCAACACGGCCAATGCACACCCCGAGAAACCGACCGAGGGGGAGGAGGAGGAGCAGGAGGAGGAGGAGGAGGAGGAGGAGGAGGAGGCCAATGAACACGGAGAAACCCCATACATGGGACTTGCCAGGCAAATCATAAAGCATCCCCCGTGAGGCCGTACCTTCTAAACCCAGGGGTGCGATTATCGCCAGCATGGGGTTCGGCGTCCAGCACCAAAGAAGCTTCTCCACCCCCGTGGACGGACTCGACAACAACTGATTGCAGAGAAGGGCACTGATGACCGGGACATCTGCGAGCTCCCTCTGCAGACCCTCTGCAGGAGGAATTTTTAAAAATAGTCAAAAAATATTCAGGGTACGAGTTTTGGACCACTTTGGAGTGCCTTGGGGTATTTTGGGGCTCTTTCTACTGATTCGTCCAGAATCGGCCCGTAGGGGGACGGGCCCGACTGAACGGTAGGGGCCATAGCTGGAGCTTGTGTTGTAGCCTCCTCGGCCGCCCCAGCCATCTCTTCCCCTCTCCTGCGCGCTGGCCACTTCGCTCCTCGGTGCCACCGTTTGGCTCTGTCGCTGGCGCAGCCAGTCCGCCTCGCCGCCCACGGAGCAGTTGTATCCTCTTGAGGCAGCCGGCGTTGATGGGGGACGTCGGGGCTCAAGAGGCGGGGGTCAGTGCAAACGGGGGTCAGTCAAAGCGCCGGATCTTGCAGGACCCTGCAGGGCCAGGGGCGCACTGACCCGGGTCGGGTCAGTGTTCTGCGGGATCTTGCAGGATTTTGCAAAGCCTGTCTGACCCAGGTCTGGATTGATCTGGGTCAGTAGATCTCCGAGGACGGGTCGGTGATGCCACGATTTGCGCCCGTGTTTTATAGGAACTAGCTACCCACAGCCGTTCCCAGGCGGCGTCTGCGCGAAGCGTGGCATTACCAGGGCGGCCTCGGCAACGGAAGTCATTGCACATCGTTGAGAGATTGGCTTCTGACGAGCTCCTGCGAGGGCATGCTCAGTACACCGCCGCGACGAGAGAGGCGAAGTTGGGGAGCCCGCTGCACAAGCCCTTGGCATCGCTCGGACGTGTGCATTTTTCTGGGCTGGGCCAGCGCCAGAAATTCTGGACCGTCTTGGAGCGTCTTGGACCACCCTGACAAAAAAATACACGCACGAAGCCAAACAATGCACGGGGAATGGCAGGGCTCATTTCGACTCTTCCGACTCGATACGATTCGATTTCGATTCGACCTGGGATTCCTAGTGGGGTTCCGATTTCGCACTGAAGGCCTTACTTGCCTGCCGATTCCTGCCGATTCGATTTCTCCCGATTTGGCTGCCGATTTCCTGCGATGCGATTCCACTCGATCGCCGATCCGACATCGATTCGATTCCAGGCTCGCCCGCCTCGAAAGACAAAAGACGCGCGCGAAGCCAAACAGGTCGTCGTTTTCTTCTCGTTTTGCCGGTCGGCGCGGGCCTTCAACCCCCCCCACGTTCTGGACGCCTGGTTCACGCAGGGGAAATCTCCCCCATGGGACGCACGGTCGCAAGCAGTCGCGTGAAGCAGAGGTCCGGGGCCAGACCCCCCCGCGTGATGGCTCGCATCCCTTACCACTCTGTCGATTCGGCTCCGGTGCCTGAACGTGGCCCACAGAAGGCCGATCGGCGCATCAGCGCCGCCGCCGTGAAGCCCTCGTCGAGCTCTGGCTGGTGGGATGGGCCTCGACCTTTCGGGGGGCGAGGACAACAGCGAAACGGTTCATGGAAGAGTCTGCTCCCCCCCCGGGCCCCCGACTCCTCCTCCTCCTCCTCTCCTCCTCCTCCTCCTCCTCCTCCTCTCCTCCTCCTCCTCCTCCTCCACTCCTCCTCCTCCTCCCTCCTCCTCCTCCTCCTCCTCCTCCCCTCCATCCTCCTCCTCCTCCCTCCTCCTCCTCCTCCTCCTCCCTCCTCCCTCCCTCCTCCTCCACCTCCTCCTCCTCCTCCATCCTCCTCCTCCCTCTCTCCTCCTCCTCCACCTCCTCCTCCTCCTCCCTCCTCCTCCTCCTCCTCCTCCTCCTCCTCCCCCTCCTCCTCCTCCTCCTCCTCCTCCTCCTCCTCTCTCCTCCTCCTCCTCCTCCCTCCTCCCTCCTCCTGCTCCCCCCGGGCCCGGCCCAGGCCCCGGCCCTGGCCTCGGCCCTGGGCGCCCTGGCCCAGGCCTGGGCCCCAGCTTTGGCCCCGGAGGTCCAGCCTTACCACGAGGCCTGGGCCGCCCCCGAAGACTCCTCCTCCTCCATCCTCCATCCCCCCCCCTCCCACTCCTCCTCCTCCTCCTCCTCCTCCTCCTCCTCCTCCTCCTCCTCTCCTCCTCCTCCTCCCTCCTCCCCCCTCCTCCTCCTCCTCCATCCTCCATCCTCCATCCTCCTCCTCCTCTCCTCCTCCTCCTCCTCCTCCTCCTCCTCCATCCTCCTCCTCCCCCTCCTCCTCCTCCCCCTCCATCCTCATGCCGAGACGCCGAACCAGAAAGGGTCCGCCCAGTGCACGGGGGCCGGGCGTCCGGGCAGTGGCCGGAGAGCACGGCGCGGCCTCCCCTGGCAGCCGGGCCAGGGCCCGGGCGCGGCCCGGCCGGCGCCCGGGCGCGGCAGGGCCCGCCCGTAGCGGGAGAGGCGAGCTCGGGAGCCTGGCAGTGCCTTCGCGTCTAGACGCGAAGGCACCCCGGCACCCCGGCCGGCCGGCCGGCACCCCGGCACCCCAGACATGATGGCGTCGTGAAAGAATCCGTGAAGCAGAGGTCCGGGGCCAAACCATTCTGTCGATTCGGCTCCGGTGCCTGAACGTGGCCCACAGAAGGCCGATCGGCGCATCAGCGCCGCCGCCGTGAAGCCCTCGTCGAGCTCTGGCTGGTGGGATGGGCCTCGACCTTTCGGGGGGCGAGGACAACAGCGAAACGGTTCATGGAAGAGTCTGCTCCCCCCCCGGGCCCCCGACTCCTCCTCCTCCTCCTCCTCCTCCCCTCCTCCTCCTCCTCCTCCTCCTCCTCCTCCTCCTCCTCCTCCTCCTCCATCCTCCCCTCCTCCTCCCTCCTCCTCCTCCTCCTCCTCCTCCTCCTCCTCCTCCTCTCCTCCTCCTCCTCCACTCCTCCTCCATCCTCCTCCCTCCTCCTCCTCCTCCTCCTCCTCCCTCCTCCTCCCTCCTCCTCCTCCTCCTAGCTCCCCCCGGCCCAGCCCCGGCCCTGGCCTCGGCCCTGGGCGCCCTGGCCCAGGCCTGGGCCCCGGCCTTGGCCCCGAGGTCCAGCCTTACCACGAGGCCTGGGCCGCCCCCGAAGACTCCTCTCCTCCACTCCTCCTCCTCCACCTCCTCCTCCTCCTCCTCGCTCCTCCTCCTCCTTCTCCTCCTTACCTCCTCCTCCTCCTCTCCTCCCTCCTCCTCCTCCTCCTCTCCTCCTCCTCCCCTTCCTCCTCCTCCTCCTCCTCCTCCTTCCTCCTCCTCCTCCTCCTCTCCTCCTCCTCTTTCGGTCCTCCTCCCCCTCCTCCTTCCTCCTCCCCTCCTCCCCCTCCCCCTCCTCCCCCTCCATCCTCATGCCGAGACGCCGAACCAGAAAGGGTCCGCCCAGTGCACGGGGGCGGGGCGTCCAGGCAGTGGCCGGAGAGCACGGCGCGGCCACCCCCCGGCGGCTGGGCCGGGGCTCGGGCGCGGCGCGGCCGGCGCCCGGGCGCGGCAGGGCCCGCCCAGAGCGAGAGAGGCGAGAGCTCGGGAGCCGGGCAGGGGCCGGCCGGGGTGCCTTCGCGTCGAGAGTTAGTCGAGTCAGAGCGTGAATTACCTATGGTAGGTTTGCGTCGTGCCGACACCAGCGTTGGTTTTTGACACCGCAGGGATCGTTCAACCTTGAACGATCGGCCGCTGCCGCAACGTCCGATCGTTCAACATCGATCGATTCTGGGTCGCCGGCGGCGTTCAACCTCCGTACCCCGCTTTCGCTCCCAGGCAAGTCCAAGGCATACCATGCGCCTCCTCGTCAAGCGGCCCGACCAGTACACGCCGTAGTCTGGCATCGCTTGGTATCTCTTGGAAGCGAGGGTGGTCAAAAGCGAGGTAGGTTCGTTTGCCCCCTATCGACCCCAGACACGATGGCGCCGTGAAAAAAAACTCCGGACGGGAGGTTTTTGCCCATTTTCAGCCCCAGGGGGGCCCTCGCCGGGCCCCGGGACCGTCCGAAAACGGCTCAGGGCGAAAAACCGGTCCCGGGGAAAGGGTCGGGGCTTCCAGGGACGCCGCCCTGAAGAAGTCAGGACGTCGCATGTCTGGGACTAGACGTAAGAGTGACCTTTCGCCGAAGTGACCTTTGGTGCGGGCCCACTGGGGTCCCCCAATCGCCGAACGCGAGGCGGCAGTGGCGCATTGCGCGCATGGTTTGAACCCCCTCGCGGCCCCCAAAAAGCCGCGCACCAAAGGTCACTCTTACCCAGAGTCACTCTTGCGTGTAGTCGAGTTAAGTCGTGCCTGTCCCTCTACAGGATGATTTTTTAAAAATATTATAAAAAGATAGTCGGGGGACCATTTGTTGATTTTTGTTTGTCCAGTTTGAAGCATGTATTCACTCTTTGTACTTTGTCCTCCAAAATCTGCCTGTAGGGGGACATGCCCGACCTAAGTCTAGAGGAAGAAACAACCACATAAACATAATTTGTTGCAGCTCCGCGCGGATTTCTCGGATCCGCGCCTGGCACCCCCCGGCGGCGTCTCCGGCGCCGCCCCTGGCGCGCCCCGCGCGCCGCGCGCCAGGAAGAGGGGTCCAGCGCGGATCCAAAAGATCCGCGCGGAGCGCCAAACGTTGATGTTTATGTGGGGGGCGGCCAAGGTGGCAGGGCTCGTTTCGATCCCTCCGATTCCATTCGATGCGATTTCGATTGAGGATTCCGATTCCGATTCGACTCGACCTCGGATTCCGATTTGGGCCCTGATGTCTCAATGGAGGCATAGTAGCCCGCCGATTTCCGCCGATTCGACTTCTCCCGACTTGGTTGCCGATTTCCGCCGATCCGATTCATTTCGATTGCCGATCGGACTTGTCGATTCGATTCTGGGCTCTCCTGAGAGGGGGTTGATGTCTCATCAACGAGCGCGTTCCACTACTCGCAGAGTGCCTACTCGCAAACGTCCGAAAAACACATGTCTGCATCGATGGAATGCATCGTGAATGTCCCACGGCGGATCCAGGCCAGTTGCGAGTAGTTACTCTGCAAGTAGAGGAACGCGCTTGTCTAACTCGGCACGATATTTCCCAGATTTCATGGCTCCCTCTTCTTCTTGCGTCGCATCCCCAGCCCCCCCCCCTCCCCGCTCCCTGGTCCGCGCACACGCCTCGGGCCTCTTGGGCGCCCCCCTCTTGGACGCCCCTTTCTTTTTTCCTCCAGATTGCCGTCGGATGATCGCGGGGCGTCGGACTCTCCCTCCTCCTCCACCTCCTCCTCCTCCTGTTCCTCTTCCTCTCCCTGTTCCTGTTCCTCCTCCTCCTCCTCCCTCTTCCTCATCCTCCCCCTCCTCCTCCTCCTCCTCCTCCTCCTCCTCCTCCTCTCCTCCTCCTCCTCCTCCTCCTCCTCCTCCTCCTCCTCCTCCTCCTCCTCCTCCTCCTCCTCCTCCTCCTCCTCTCTGCGCTGAGCGGACTTCAAACGCTAGGCTCGCAGCGCCTGGCCTCCTCCTCCTCCTCCTCCTCCTCCTCCTCCTCCTCCTCCTCCTCCTCCTCCTCTCCTCCTCCTCCTCCTCCTCCATCCTCCTCCATGCTCCATCCATACTCCATCCTCCATCCACCTCCTCCATCCTCCTCCTCCTCCTCCTCCTCCCTCCTCCTCCATGTTCCATCCTCCATCCTCCTCCATCATCCATCCTCCTCCATCCTGCATCCTCCATCCTCCTCCTCCTCCTCGTCCTCCTCCTCCTCCTCCTACTCCTACTCATCAGGAGACGCTGCTGGTCGCCTTCTGGCGTAGCTCCAGCGGCCTTCCCGACAGGCAGCTGCCCGTGCTGGAGTCGCTGTCCAAGGCCCACCGCGCGGCCTCGTGCGGAATTGGGTAGTGGTGAGGAGGTCGCCATGATCGATCGGGTCTAGGACGAGGATAAATCCGTTCCAGAGCGTTCCAGAATTCTCTCAGAGCGTTCCGCAACGCTCTGAGAAGGCCGCGGCGCCCGAGACATCTTCCAGAGCCACCAGATCTCAGAAGCTCTCGATTTATCCTCACCCGATTTTATCCTCGTCCTGGCTTTATCTCAAGAGGTGTCCAGGGGGAGAGGGGCCTGTATGGCAGCACCGTCGATGCAACCTGGGTCTCTACTCTGGTCATGGGACCTCCTCCTGCCACTCTTCGGAGGGCACCAACTATACACCAACACCGATCCTGGCCCAGGATCACCCTGGGCCCAGGATCGGTGTATATGCCTTCTTGCGCAAGGCAGGAGGGCGTATGCACCGATCCTGGGCCCAGGGTGATCCTGGCCAGGATCGGTGTTGGTGTATAGTTGGTGCCTTCCTAACTCTCTCGCCTCCCCCCTCGGTGCATGAGTTCCGACCCCGAGCCAAGCCTCCGGGTCGGTTTTGGAGGTCGCCGCGGCGATCGCGGCGCCCACAGATTTGGGCAAGGTTTTCGTCGCAGGCCCCTTCCCAGCCCCACCCTCCCTGAGGTCTGCGATGGAAACGCGGTTCACATATCAACCTTGTGGCGAGCGAGAGCTGACGATTTGTGCCCCTCCTCCTCCTCCTCCTGCTCCTCCTCCTCCTCCTCCTCCCTCCTCCTCCTCCTCGTCCTCCTCCTCCTCCCTCCTCCTCCTCATCCTTCTCCTGCTCCTCACCATGGGCAGTCATGTGTTTGTTGGTGGGGAGCCGACGCTCACGCAGCCGGCCCCCCCCGCTGGCCTCCGGGGTCGAGCTTTGGAAGCCTCGGCGGGCGGCGGAGTTGCGGACACCACGGGGGAGCCCGCATCTCGATATATATATATATATATATATATATATATATTGTCATGAATCCTTTGACATATACATATACATATCTCCATAGATACACGTATACAAATACACATATACACATACAAATACAGATACATGTAAGCTTTGACGCTGGACCCGCAAGTGGAGCTCCCGGGGGGACGCTGTGTGAGCCCTTCCTTCCTACGGGGCCGTAGGATCATCGCTTTCATGTTTTCTCAGCTTTCCCACAGCCCCCTTCTCCTCCTCCCCTCCTCCCCCTCCTCCTTCCTCCTCTTCTTCTCCTCCTCCTCCTCCTCCTCTTCACTACCTCCCCCCTCCTCCTCCTCCTCCTCCTCCTCCTCCTCCTTCACCTCCTCCTTCGCTTCGCTTGCGCGGTTTGCAATACTTGGGCAATGGTGCTCTCGCCCATCCGCGGCCGCATCCCGATCCAGGAGTTGCGCAGCCACCCCAGCACCGACCACACTCTCCACTACGAGCGGTACTGCCGCCCCAGAGCCAGCCGCAGCCCTCGTTGCAGATGACGCTGCCGCTCGCGCACGAGCCCCATTCCTGGATGGGATTGTGGGGCCCTCGCCCGAGCGCTGGCCGCACCCCTGCTTGGGAGTCGTGCTGCTGCCTGCGCACTGGCCACATCCTTCATGGAACGCGGCACTCCTGTCGCAGCGCCAGCCACGCCCCTCGTTGGCTGATCACTGTGATGCCGCCCCGCTCGCACGGCTCCCACAGCCCTCACGGGAGACGTGTGCTCCGCCCAAGCGCCAGCCGCATCCATCTCCATTTCCAAGATTTGTGCTACCGCCCCAACGCCGGCCGCATCCGTGTGTGAGACTGGTAATCTCGTTTGAGCCTCGGCTGCATCCGTCTTGTATGAGCGCCACCTCCGGCGCGAGACAACTGGCGCCCGCAGTTGCCGCCCTTTGTGCTAGGCGAGTGCTGAACCTGGCGTTCGGTTTGGATGGAACGCGTCGGATCTGTTGCCAATCGGGGCTGCGCAAGGATAGGCCCCCCAAACGTCAGGTTCGGGAATGGGTCGTAGCAACACTGCGGCTGCATCAATATGCTAACTGCAGAGTCAATAATACATGTAGGTGCAAGGATCAAGATTAGAAGGCGAAGCGCAGCGAGCCTGAAAATCTTGTGTATATACATATATATATATGTGTATACATCAATGTATAAAAACAAATCCACCGTCCGCCGAAGCCTCCGGAGCTCGCTACCCCCAGGCGGTGGTTCTGGATAGGTCCCCGCCTCGCACGCCCTCCCCTGCGAAGGCCTCTGGGCAGTGGAGCGTTGCGTTGCATCTTCGGGGGGCCTCGCCTGTCCCCAAGATCGGTGCCTTGGCGTGCGTTCGACGCGGCTTCGGCACGGACTCGGCACGGGTCCGACGAGGCCGACATGGATTCGGCACGGGCTCGACGCGGGCAGGGCCGCGACGGGACGGGCGAGGTCCCCCGAGGAGGCAACAAAGAGGAGTGGGGGGAGCCCCGGCGCGCGCCCCCGCCGCAGGACTTCTTGATCACCTACCCGCAGTTCCTGTCCCTCTGCAGGGACGAGGAGCGCGTCCCCTCCCCCCCCCCTCACACAGGAGGCCAAGACAGCCCCACTGCCCAGACGAGTTCCATGAGAGCTCCTCGAATCGTGAAGACGAAGAGTGTCACGTGTGACGGCGTTCCTATTCCTCCTCTTCCTCCCCCTGCAAGCGCCGAGAAACAGTCACAGCACCGCTCACATTCTCGCGGACTCTGAGCTCGCCGACGAGCACCACGACAAGGAAGGGCCACTCGACGACCCAGGGCTCACCCGCCGCCCCCGCAAGCTGCTCTTGGGTTAAGTCGGGCCTGTCCCTCTACCGGGGGACTATTCGAAATAGTAATTATCCCAGTGCGACCCTACCCAGGAGTTGGAGCCTCTAGGATTAGCAACAGCAATAGTGGATGCTGTGCTGCGCTATGCTATGCTATGCTATGCTATGCTATGCTATGCTATGCTATGCTGCGCAATGCTATGCTGGGCTAGGCTAGGGTATGCTATGCTATGCTATACTATGCTATGCGATGCTGCGCTGTGCTATGCTAAACGATGCTATGCTATGATATGCTATGTTGCGCTATGCTATGCTATGCTATGATATGCTGAGCTATGCTATGCTATGTTTGGCTATGCTATGCTATGCTGTGCTAATGCTGCGCTAATGCTGCGCTGCGCTATGCTGCGCTAAGCTAAACTAAGCTAAGCTAGGTTAGGCTAAGCCAAGCTAAGCTTAGCCAAGCTCAGCCAAGCTAAGCCAAGCTAAGCTAAGCTAAGCTAAGCTGGGTGAACCCAGGGGGCGCAATTGGGAGAACCGCGGGGCGGATGCCGGGGGAACCGCCCGGGGCGGGCCCCAATGCCTGCCCCTTTAAGCTACCGAGTAAGAACCCTTCTAGGCAGAGCCTAGGTAGGGAAAAAGATAGTCTGGGGATTATTTTTGGAGTATTTTTTGGCCACTTTGGGGTATTTTTTGACTATTTTCATGGCTTTCGTCGAAAATCCCCCCTGTAGGGGGACACGCCCGACTTAACTCGTGGAGCAGTTCACCTCGGCGCACGACCGTGGTGAGATGGATCAGACAAAGTAGCAATGCAGTGCATACAAGAGGGCGTGCGTCACTGCCAAATCAAGGCAAACAACAGATCCAAAAAGTCATCTGCACATGCACTTATACACACACCATTGCACACACGTTTTCCGGCCACACCTGCCGCTGGGACATCGTTGGCAACTCCTCCTCAGCCGATACCCAGCCCGCTGTGCCGGCTTGGTACCCCTAATCGCGAGGGTTACCCATGCCAGGTGGGTATCCCGCCAGATGGGTATCTCCGTGCCCACCCCCCTCCCCTTTATGCTGCGGCCGGATGGGTATGCTGCCGTGCTGACTGGGGACCCCTACCCATGCGGCAGCCGCCAGATGGGTGTCCCGTTGTGCCAGTTGGGTACCCCTAATTAGCCATCCAGCACCGGATGGGTATCCCGCTGAATGGGTATCTCAGTGCCCCCCCCCCCCGCCTCCATGCTGCCGCAGGATGGGTATGCCGCCGTGCCGGCTGGGTACCCCTATTCATCCAGCGGCCGCCGGATGGGTATGCCGCCGTGCTGGTTGGGTACGCCCATCCAACGGCCGCCGGATGGGTATCCCGCCGAGCCAGCCGGGTACCCTTACCCATCCAGCGCCGAATGGGTATCCTGCCGGATGGGTATCTCAGTGCCCCCCCACGCTCCCCCCCCATGCTGTCGCCGCATGGCCCTGTATCCCGCCGTGCCGGCTGGGTACCCCTATATCCATCCAGCGGCCGCCGGATGGGTATCCCGCTGTGCCAGCTGGGTTCCCCTAGCCTGGGTACCCCTACCCATCCAGCGCCAGATGGGTATCCTGCCGGCTAGGTATCTCGTTCCCCCCTGGGGTCCCTTCCCCCCATGCTGCGGCTGGATGGGTATCCCACCGTGCCAGGTGGGTACCTCTACCTATCCAGCGCCGGATGAGTATCCCGCCGTGCCGGCTGGGTGCCCCTACCCGGCCATCGCCCAGCGTAGACACGCAGGAGTCTCGGGGGCGCTACCCCGGTGGAGCCCGTCGGAGGACCAGTGGAGCGACAAAAGACAACGGGGTCGAAAGTGCCGACATCGGCGCGCCAGCTGTCCGTGCGAGGCCGCATTGGCGGCCGCGTCGGCCACCGCGTCTGGTCGCCGTGTCATCTCGCGTAAGTCGGGGGAGGACAGAACCCCCAACAGAGACACGTCGATTAGTGAATTGTCCGTTTTCGGTTTTCGAGAGGGCGCCTTGGCCGTTATTTTCCAGGCTTGCGCCCGCCAGGTTTGGGCTTCAGGTCGTTTTCACTAAACCACGTTTTGCTAAAGGGGGGTCTGTCCATCCTCGCGTAAGGCCCGTGCCTTGTTGTCGCTCGGTGGAGGCAGCCGCAGTTCCCTCGCCTGCTACGGGGGGTCAGCCTGTCGCGGGTCAGGAACACATAGGCTCAATTTCGCTGATCTTCCTTATTCGGGGTCGCATTTTATCAATGCCGTCCTTGCTTTTTGGTGGGCAGTTCCTCTGGAAATACTTGGCCCAAGCCAGTATTCTTCTCAGAAAATCTATACTCCTTGGTTCTAGGCGGGAGGAGGATCGCCCCGCATCGCCAATGCATTGCCGATGTGGCTCGATGTGGAGCCCGATCTGCTTCACGTCGACGTCGCCAATGTATCGCCGACGTCGACGATGCATCGCCGGCGCATCGCCGATGCATCGCCGACATCGCCGATGTATAAGCGATGTGGCGTGATCCTCCGACCCCATCTACTCGGACCCCATCTAGGAGGCCTCTATTAGTTTGCCCTTCGCTGACTCTGACTCCCAGTAGTCTGACCCCACTGCCAGGCGAAGGAGCAGTTGGGGTTCGGGGGGTGGGCACAGCTCGGAGAGCTCATGCGTTTGGACCCTGGGAGGGGTCCGGGGATACTCTTGGTGGGATATTAATCGAGGGGTGGGCGACTAACTTTCCGACGGAGCTTGCCCATCCCCCCCCCCGTCCACCTCCTCCTCCTCCTCCTCCTCCTCCTCCTCCTCCTCCTCCTCCTCCTCCTCCTCCTCCTCCTCCTCCTCCGACTCCTCCTCCTCCTCCCCCTCTCCTCCTCCTCCTCCCTCCTCCTCCTCCTCCTCCTCCTCCTCCTCCTCCTCCTCCTCCTCCTCCTCCTCCTCCAACCACCCGTTCCGACAGCACGTGCCCAACCCCCCCCAGCGGATCCAAGGAGGGGGCGAGTAGTGCCCCATCCAGAGTAGATTTCAGGAGTGGACACACACACACACACAGACACACAGAGAGACACAACGAGTCGTCGACTCCCAGGAAGGTGCGGGGAACCATGGGAAGCGGGGGGGGGTAAGGCGAAGACCCCGAACGTATGGGACGAGATGGGGAGTCCTGGGATCTGTGTCTATTGCGAAGGCCTTGTGGCCGGTGCTGCCGACCCTGCAGACGGAGACGACGAGCAGGACAAGGACGAGCAGGAGGTGGACGTCAGGGAGCAGAAGGGAGGAGGAGGAGGAGGAGGAGGAGGAGGAGGAGGAGGAGGGGAGGAGGAGGAGGAGGAGGAGGAGGACATGATGAGTCCTGGGATATGTGTCTCTTTGTTTGTACGACGCATGGCCCCTTGTCTAGTAAAGATGGTACAAGCGCAGGCGCACGCCTTCGGGGGTCCGCGCGTGCCCCGCTGGGCCTCCCTCCCCTCCCGCGCGGGGGCGCCGCTGGAGGCGCCACCGGGGTGGAGGAGGAAGAGGAGGAGGAGGAGGAGGAGGAGGAGGAGGAGGAGGAGGAGGGAAAGGAGGAGGGAAAGGAGGAGGAGGAGGAGGAGGAGGAGGAGGAGGAGGAATAGGAGGAGGGAAGAGGGAGGAGCGAGGAGGGAGCAGGCGAAGACGGACGACGCCAACCTGGCGACCTCTGCGGCGCGCTGAAAATCCGATGCAAGCGCGACTGCATCGCGGTGGAAGATGCCGACGCGCGCCTCCTCCTGCGCGAGCACGACGGCATCGACATTTCGACGACAACAGGGCGACATTTTTCAGCCAACAAGTGCTGAACGCGGAGCTCGAGGCGCGTCTTTGTGGAGAACGCACCAAAGCAGCGCTGCAGACGGTGAAGGGAGCAAGAATAGAAGCATGGGCAGGAGCACGGGCAGCAGGAGGAGGAGCAGCAGCAGGAGGAGCAGGACAAGGAAAACGACACAGGAGAGGAAGGAGGCGGGAAGGAGGGAGGGGCAGAACGCCGACGACGACGACCGCCACCACCGCCGCCGCCGTCGCCGCAATTGCTGCCGCCGCCGCCGCCGCGGCGATGGCGGCGGCGGCGGCGGCGGCCCTCGGCGACGCGGGGAGGGCGACCCCTGGCCACCGTTGCGTCGCGCCAGGTCCCGTGGCTGGGCACCCCCGCCCAGCGGCCGCCGGGCGGGCGCCCCGCCGCGCTGGCCAGGCGCCCCCGTCCGTCCAGCGGCCGCCAGATGGGCGTCGGCCGGGCTTCGCTGGCCCGGGCGCCCGCGCCCCCGGCGGGCATCCTGCCGGATGGGCACCCGAAGGCCCCCTCTCCCCTCGCCGCGGCTGGGCGGGTGCCCCGCCGTGCCGGACGGGCGCCTCTACTCGCCCAGCGCCGGATGAGTGTCCCGCCGCGCCGGCCAGGCGCCCCTATCCAGCCATCGCCCGGCGCGGGCGCGCGCGGGTCTCGGGGGCGACGCCCTGGCGGAACCCGTCGGAGGGCCCGCGCAACGACGAGCGACGGCGGGGTCGAGCGCGCCGACACCGGCGCGCGAGCTGCCCGCGCGAGGTCGCCGCGCCATCGCGCGCGGGGCCCGTGTCTTGTTGTCGCTCGGCGGGGGCGGCCGCAGTTCCTTCGCCTGCGCCAGGGGGTCAGCATTTCGCGGGTCAGAAAAAGGCGAACTCGATCTCGCTCGTCTTCCTAATTCGGGGTCGCATCTATATCGACGCCGCCCTGGCTTTTTCAGGGGCAGTTCCTCTGGCAATACTTGGCCCTGACGCG